TGTGATGTGATGCGATGCGATGCGATGTGATGTGATGTGATGTGATGTGATGTGATGTGATGTGATGTGATGTGATGTGATGTGATGTGATGTGATTCGAGGTTTGGTGGAATGTAGTCAATGTATCTGTACATGTATGTTTTACGTTTGCGGGTATATGTATATGTATACGTATATGTACTTGCACATGTCTATATGTATGTCTCTCTCTCTCTCTATATATATATATATATCTACTATTCAGGTAGGTAGATAGATCGACAGATATAGTTAGATAATTAGGCAGGCCTACACACGCACACACACAGGGACCCGACAATAGAGTGGGTTCTGGCAGTATGATATGAGAAATGCCGTGCATGTATGTGAAGAGGTAAAGGACTAAAGAGATGATAGACGCCATCGCCCCTGTCGAACACTGAAGCTACAACTGTCTGGTGCTTAGTAGGAACAGGGGAATGGATTATAGGGACTACTATAAGGGACCTTCAGGGACTATCATACCATTCCCCCATTCCCTACTAAGCACCAGACAAGCATGACCTATTCTGACAAGCCACCAACTTAACCCGCAAAATCCCGAACTGGGCCGTTCCCAAGTGACCTGGGTTCGATGGATGCCAAGCCCTGAAGCATCGGTCCCCGGAGCATACTATACACCCCAAACCCTTCATCCTGAACCCTACGTCCTCAAGACTTAGGAGCCCAATAGGTAAACTTTAAACTTTTTTGGTATATTAAACCCCTACTAAAAGAAAAGTTTAAACTTTTTTGGGCCAGGGTATTGGGCTTAAGGGTGATCAACGATAACTTCAGATGTGAATCCTGAACCTTGCCTACTAATAGCATCCAGGTATATAGTTTAGATATTTACAATATAAGATACCCCAAGACCTTATTCTGAGTTTTAAGACCCCTATATCAGGCAGCTCCAAGTACCCTCTGTTTTAATCCCAATACTCACCATGAAAGATAACTGGGGCTCGATCCAGGTTGCCTTTGGGGGTCCTGGTATATCCTGAGCTTGAAGAGAGGCCCTTTCTAAGTATATTATATGTCTGTATATCTATATATAGATACACTGGCACACATACATATGTGTATATCGGTATATGATATATGCATACATAATACCTCTTACGTAATACATAATACGCAGTACATACATGCATACATTACAGTAATACATTATATTACATTACTTACAATACATGACATACATACATACATACATACATACATACGTACATACATACATACATACATACATAAATAACCCCAAAAGTATATTTAACCCAACGTACAAAGCTAAGACAACAATATACCCATAATTGCAAATGTAAATGCAACTACAGAAGTAGCGATAACTACAACTATGAGCAAAAAGGCTAGCGAACGTATGTATGTAGGTATGCTTGCATGCATGCATTCCAGTATAATTTGTCTATATGTATGTGTATATACATGTGTATATATATATATATACCCACATACGAAAACTTTATATACACATACACTCAGAGCAGCAACGTGGGCCCTTCCGCTGCTTCTGAGGTGCTGCGGACCTCAGCAAGGTGACTGTGGTAGGCGGGACGACCCACAAGGACCTGCCGCCCAGGCCACGCGTTTGGGCTTTGTTTCGGCAAGCGCTGGATTGTTATAGGGTTTTGTTATAGAGTGCGTTTTTAAGGTTCTTAGTATAACCAGGTTTTATGTGGTATTGAGAGGGTTTTGTAGGGTTTTTGTGGTATTGAGAGGGTTTTGTAGGGTTTGGTTTGTGTTTCGGGTTTTGAGGCTTAGGGTGCAGAGGCGGGCGTAAGGGTTTTGGGCTTTGGGGGGTTTGGGGCCACAGTGTAGCGTGGTGCAGTCAGGGTGTAGAGTTGGGTCTAATATAGGGGCCTGAATAATTACCTAAACTATTTTGGGGGTTCCTTATTCTAATTACAGTATGATATTGATTGGCTCAAAGTTTAGCTAAACATTCACGGGATGCACAAGGCATCTGACGAATCGCTCGCCTCAGACTTCTGTCCGTCATCACCACAAACCCTATTCTAATTTTTAGCGCCCCTAAACCCTAAGCCCTTATAGTAGCCTTTATAGAACCCTGTAAGGAATCCTTCAAAAGAGCCCTTCCCCCCAAAACCCTATTCTAAGTTCACTACATTCGAGTTGCTGGTGTCGGCGCAGGGTTTGGGGTCTTGCCATGGCTGTGGGACGGACAGATCCCTTGGATAAAGACCTGAAAGTTTTGAGGTAAGAAAGTCGTAGCATCCCTAAACCCTAAACCCTAAACATGTTATGCCGCATGGTATTTCTTTGTGATTGCGTGTGTGTGTGTGTGTGCATATTTGCCTCTGCAACGAGCTGCTGGTTGTTTCTTGGTAAGTTCGTTAGTTGATGACTAGATGATGCTACATGCATCTGTTTCGCCGTCTGCTTATTCATATCAGGGTGCGCAAGCAGCCTGCGACGTCAATGTGGTTGTCTCATTCTTTATGAGACGGCTCGGGAATGTAGTGACTACATCGTAACTCCTTACTGAGGGACAGGGAGTCAGGATTCCTGGATGATGACGCCTGGCGGGATCCCGACAGTCTCGTCACCTGAACGGAGCTTGTGACGCCAAACCTATCTTAGGGTTTGAAAGACTTCACAATAACCCACGACCGTTTCGGAGATGTTCTCTTCAGGCAGGTTTTGGAGGAGTCATCTATCGAATCGACGCCCTCCACCCCGCAATGGGTACATCGGCCTATACCGTGTTTTTTCGGGCTTGGAGTTTCTTCGGGTGTGGAGCTCAGTTCTAATCTGGAGCAAAATTTGCTACGGCTCGCATCGGCACACTAAATCCTAAAACCCCCCACCCCTAGAACCCCCAAACCCCTACCGTAAACAACAAAACCCTAAACCCCTAAATCCCTAAACCCCTAAATCCCTAAACCCCTAAACCCCAAGGCCCTAAACCCTAAACCCCTAAACAACTAAACCCCTAAGCCCTAAACCCTAAACAACCAAACCCCGAAGCCTAAACCCCTAAACCCTAACTCCTAAACCCTAAACAACTAAACCCCTAAACGTTGTAAACCCTAAACAACTAAACCCGTAAGCCCTAAATCCTAAACCCCTAAAGCCGATAAAACCCTAAACCCTAAGCCCTAAACCCCTAAACCCTAAACCCAAACCCCTAAACCTTATAAACCCTAAACAACTAAACCCCCAAGCCCCGAAGCCTAAAGCCTAGACCCTCAACAACCAAACCCCGAAGCCCTGAGCCCCAAACCCTAAACCCTAAAAACCCGAAACCCTAAACAACTAAACCCCTAAGCCCTAAACCCAAACCCCTACCGTAAACCCTCAACAACCAAACCCATCCAGCCCCTGAGGCAGTGTTGAACTTCGCAGCCGACGAGACCGCGTGGTTGGTTGCTTTCGTCCGTGCGTGGACCAAGGCGGTGGACGCTGGACGGAATTGGGATTTAGGGCTTTTAGGGCTTTTAGGGCTTGAGGGCTTTAGGGCTTCAGAGCTTTTAGGGCTTTAGGGTTTTAGAGCTTCAGGGCTTTAGGGCTTTGAGGGCTTTAGGGTTTAGGGCTTAGGTTTAGGGCTTTGGGCTTTAGGGCTTTAGGGCTTTAGGGTTTTTAGGGTTTAGGGCTGTGTTCTCCGCTTCGGGCTTAGAGGGTTTAGGGTTTCGGATATAACAGAATGTAAGATAATACGCACTACACTATACTATAATATAATACTATACTATATGCTCTTTCGGGCTTGAAGCTTTCAGGGATGATGGCAGAGAGGATATGTTTTTGTTCTACTAGGCTCCGCTTTTGGTGGTGCATTGTTCCTGTAACTCGCTTTACCTACAGTCTAGCGGCCACGACCCCTTAATTTAGTAGGTCGAGCCCATAAAACTGTAGGTAATTAGAGTCCCAGGTAAACCCCAAACCCTAAACCCCAAACCTCAAACCCCAAACCCCAAACCTTAAATCCTAAACCCGAAACCCTAAACCCTAAACCCTAAGGACGCTGGGGCTTTAAGGTTCAGCGCGCGAAAACTTTAGCCCAAGTCCCGGCCATCAACTGCAAAGGAAGGCCAAGGCCCTTACATAGGGCCCAGAATATATCTATATCTATATCTATAT